CTTATTCTGTAATGGAGTTTTTACAATTGACAAATCAATATGGACAAGTTTCAGGTTTTAAAATTAATAACAATAAGACTAAAATATTGCCTAAGAACATGACCAATTTGGATAAGGAGACATTGGTTAGATTGACAGGCTTTGAGGTTGTTAATAAGGTAAAATATTTGGGTGTTATTTTATCTGCTTCCAACTCAAAATTGTATAAAAATAATTATGAAACACTGTGGGTTAGAATACAAAAGGATTTGGATAATTGGAAAAAGTTGCAATTGTCCCTTTTGGGGAGAATAGCAGCGATTAAAATGAATGTTCTGCCAAAATTTCTCTTTTTATTTCAAATGATACCTATTTTAAAGAAAGAAGCAAATTTAGATGAGTGGCAGAAAGGTATCAACAAATTTATCTGGGCAGGGAAAAAACCAAGAGTAAAACTTAAAATTTTACAAGATATACGAGAGAGAGGTGGACTTAAGGTACCGAATTTGAAATTGTGTTACGATGCTGTGGTTTTAACATCAATTAGTGATTGGGTTACTCTAACAAATGTAGATATACTCCTTCTGGAGGGATGGGATTTACTTTTTGGATGGCATGCCTATTTAATTTATAACAAAAAGGTTGATAGGGTCTTTAGATCTCATATCTTAAGAATTTCTTTACTTCGGGTTTGGAAGAAATACTATAGAAGTGATTCAAGAATTCCATTATGGGCTGTTCCATGGCATGCAATAGAAGGAATAAGGAGAGGAGTTAAGATGGATATTACTTCTTATACACAATTACTTAAGTGGGATGGTAAGAACTGGCAATTAAAATCTATGGATGAATTAGCAAAAGAAAATATTATTTATTCATGGTTTCAGTATAGACAACTATTGGAAAGGTGGAAGATAGATTATAAGATGGGCTTGCTTAGAGAGGATGAGAATTTGTTAAAACAAATTAGAGATCAAAGTCGAACCCACCTTAAAAGAATTTATGGTGTTTTGGTGGAATTGGACTCAGAAGCAGAGCTAGTTAAAGATTGTATGGTTAAGTGGGCACAAAATTTTGATGAACCAATTTTATTAGATACTTGGGAGATTATTTGGGTGAGGAATGTTAAATTCACGCAAGCCCAAAACTTACGGGAAAATTTTTATAAAATGTTTTATAGATGGCACCTTGATCCACAAAAAATGTCTCGTATGTATCCAAACCTGCAGCCTAAATGTTGGAGATGTGGCTGTTTGGATGCTGCTTATTATCATATTTGGTGGTCATGTAAAAGTATTAAAGCTTTTTGGATTAAGATATGGTGGAATATTCAAAGAATTTTTAAAAGAAGGATAAAATTTACTCCACAATTGTTTTTGTTGGGTATTGTTTCTGATTGTGATGAAAAAGAGATTATTTTAATGTTAAACGTAATTACTGCGGCTAGGTTGTTAATAGGGCAATATTGGAAGAAGGAATTTTTGCCTACTTTGCAAGAATGGTTTTTTAAAGTTTCTTACTTAGCGGAAAGGCAAAAATTTTGGCTTTCTTGAAAGATCAATCGCAAGAGAAGTATCTTTCGGTGTGGAAAAGATGGATAAATTTTATACAATATAAGTATGATATAAGAAAATACCATCTAGTTTTTGAATAATTTATATAAGTTTAAGATATTATTTAGAAGTGTAATTGTTATTATTCTTTAATTTTTTATTATTATTATTTTTTATTATTTCTTTTTTATTTTTTCTTTTGTTTTTCCTCTTTTTGTTTCTTACATATTATGGAGTTAAAGTATTTTACAATTTGTTTATTGAGCGTAATTATATTTACTTAAGGTTTATTTGGGTTTAAAACTTTTTTTCTTTTAAGATCTAGTTAAGCCTGTATTCAGCTCTGGGAAGAACGGGGGAGGGTTTTGGGGTGGGTTGGGAGGGATTGGGGAAGGGGTTTTTATTGTAAAATTTTAAAAACTTTTAATTAAATAAATAAATAAATAAATAATTGGGAAAATGATGATGGGACGTACCAGAGAGAATACTTAAAAAAGAAACATTTCTTTGAATATGGTTAAAGAAATAGAAAAGATTTGGAATATGTATGTCACTCTAAGAGGGATGAATCCCCTAAATAATATAGTGTGCTTTCCCCCCTTTTTATTTTATTTGTTGATATGAGTAATATGAAATATTTGAAATGGCTTAGAGAAAGGAAATGTTTTAGATATTTAAATGAGACTGAATTTAAGAAAATTATGATGGATAAAAATGTTTTGAAAAAGAGTTAAAGGACTAAATAACTAGATGTATTAAATGGAATATTTAAAGATTAAACATAGTTTTAATTATGGTTAAAAAGAATAAGAAAACTTGGAAACAAATATATATTAGCTTAGGAGGGATATATATATTAAGTACTATGTTATTTTTTATGCTTCTTTACTCTTGCTCTCCTATATTTTTTTTTCATTATTTTATCTATTCCTTAAGAAATGTAAAAGTGTGAGATGATGTAATTAATTTTTGAGAAAATCTTAACCAGTAAGAATACTTAGAATCTTGTGGGAGAAACAAATTTAAATAAGGACTGCAACAGGATCTATGATAAGGCAACCAGAATGATTGGATAGAAAAGAAATATTATATTGATGTGATTATTCTTTTTAGGAATATTGGGAAATATATTTAATTGTTATCTATGAAAACAATAAGAATTGTATTAGCTTAATGTTTTCAAAAGAGGATATTTTGGGGAAAAGAGGAAATCAATTAAAACTATTAAGTGAATTATGGATTACAGAAATCAATTGTTAGTAATTGTTTTACAAATGTAAACCCAGAAAACACACTGTTGACCAATTATTAAGTAACCATTCCATCCCTAGGATCATTGGGAATTCCATGCCTGGGGTCACCACAAACGTTATGTCCTCCTCATGTTTGTCCAGGGAGAGGTGTATTGGTAAAGTGGTTAGGGTAGCTGGCATCCCCCCCCCTGCTATGGATCCATCTAACTGGACCAATGAGATCGGTTGTTCCAGTCTCCTCGATGGAATGCCCAGGTTCCCCACTAGTGTCGGGCTAATGAAACAGCGGGTGCAGCCAGAGTCTATTAAGGCTTTCACCTTCACGGCTTCGGGCATGGGGGGAGTTACTGTCATTGTCTTGAGGATGGGTGCGATGCGTCCACTTACCAGGGGTTCGCCCTCTGAGCTGTCATCTGAGGCGTCCACTGGCCCTGCAGTGTAGGCTGGAGTTTTTTCCCCCTGATGAGCAGAGGTGGGGGGTTCCACAATTTCCATCATTCTCATGGCAGTTTCTTTTGGCTTAGCTGAAGACTTTCCGGATTTGCTGTTTGGGGATCTGTCTGGGTTTGGCTGGGGGGCTTTGGACCGGCATTCTACAGCTCAATGCCCTTCTCTTCTGCACTTGAAACACCCCATTTGCTTCTTGGCTGTAGCCAATGGTTTCACTGGTTCGTGTGTCAACTCAGGCGGGGAGCGGCTCCATTGTTTTCCTTGGTTGTGTCTCTTCAATATGTCGATCTCTGCTTCCTCTGCCAAGACGTACCATTCCTCAAGTTGGTATGGGTCCCCTCGGGACAGGCAAGCATCATATAAGTCATAATTTAGTCCATCTTTGAAATGGCTAAGGAGGATGTCTTCTGGCCAGTTCAGTTTGCTGGCAATGGCCCGGAATTCTTTTGTATATTCAGCCACCGGGCATTGCCTCATCGTTTTTATTCTTTCGCGGGCTTTGCGATCAGCCAGGGGGTCTTCAAATCGTCTTCTCAGAGAGGACATGAAACGGTTGAAGTTGCTGAGTTCTGGGGCATTGGAGTCATGCAAGTTTACCACCCAATCTGCAGCCGGTCCGTCTAGGGCAGATTGCATGATCCGGATGCGGGCTTTGTCACTGGGGATGTCCTGCCCGTATTCCTCCATGTAGCTGAGGACTTGGGTTAGAAAAAACCCCAAGCGTGTTGGCTCCCCTTTGAATTTCACCTCCAACGGTGGACGTCTTGGAATGGATCGGTGCCTCCGTTGTTGGTGGTAGTGTATTCCGTCCAGATCGCCATCTGTGGTTCGGTAGGGGGTGGGGACTACTGGATCATCAGACGTCCCCGGGGCTGCAGGTTCCACTTCCCCCTCGGTGTCTCTCCCTTTGCGACTCCAGCAGCTGGGACGGCCGTAGGGCTCAGGATTCTCCTCTCCTAGGGAGCTGAGAGTTCTCTTCATCAGGTCAATAGCTTTCTCTAGGATCCAGTCTGAGTACGGTGCTCAGCTTTCTCCCTCTTCACTTGTGTGCAGGATTTCTCCATCTCCTGCTTCCATTCTGGTTGCTTGGTCCCCCGTCTCAGGGTCACCTTTCTTGATTCCTTTCCCCACTCACTTTTCTTTCCAACACCCATTGACCAGCAAGGCTTGTGTTCCCGTGTCTCCACCACTTCTTCTCCTGAGGACTCTGACCTCTCGGATCCCAACATCTGGCAAGGTTCCAATTGGATCAGCGGCTCTCTTTCCAGGGAGTTTCCCCCCTTTCTTGCTCCATTGTCTGACATGGTAATTTTTTGCAAAATCCCCCGGCAAGGGTCTCCCTTCCAGGTGGATTAATTTTGCAAGTTCTGTCTAATGTAAGGACCCACCCCACTTTGCATCTTAAGAAGACAGAACTCTTGGAATAATTCTTCCAACAGGAATCCTTTATTAAGAGAAAATGGTTGCAGGAGTTCTAGACAGGACTTGGGGTCCAAGCTCTCCCATTCAAGGTTTTAAGGGGTTTCCCAGTAGCCCCACCTAATCACCCCCTACTTCCAGCAACAGTCACAGGTAGTTTACCTACATGGGCATAGGCACATATATGATTTCCAAACAATCCATTTTATTCAACTGGTTTGATGTTGTGTGTCCCACAGTCATCTCTTACCCTCCAAAATTAGTGTACTGATACAAACACTACCCAATAAAAAGGATTCTGTTCTACTCCACAGCCAAACACTGAACGTTTTTGGTTTCATTGCAGCACAAAAGTCTTCTGAACTGGTCATTGGAGGTGATGAATGTAATATACTGTAAATCAGTGTTTCCCAAACTTGACAATTTTAAGGCATGTGGACTTCAACTCCCAGAATTCCACAGCCAGCATTGCTGGCTGTGGAATTCTGGGAATTGAAGTCCACATGCCTTAAAATTGTCAAGTTTGGGAAACATTGCTGTAAATGAACATCGTTCCCTTGTATTCATGTATATCACTAGCAGTTTTCTCTGCGGTGAGACTTTGATCAGCCAGGAATGGGTGCTGACTGCTGCACACTGTGACAGGTGAGGGCATTACAGAATGTGGAAGGGTTGAGGGAGATCGTGTTTAGATATCCAGATTTTTTTATAAAGTTTCTGCTAGTTTTTAGTTACTTCTCTGTGCATTTTGAATGAGTGTTCAGCTGTTACTGCTATTGCTCCTCACAATCATATCTTGAGCAATGCTGTTTATATTTATGGTTGAATTTCCATCTTCTTCACCACAGTATTCATATCTTTCCTTTTTTCTGGGATATAATAATAACAAGAATAACAAAATCTGGAACATTATCTGAACACCATCAGCACTGACAAAATCACCACAGTCAATTGCAAAAGGCATCCTTACTTGGAACACCCTGTGACAATCCCTGTAATACCATGGAACCACAAAATTTACCTACCCAAGGTCCTTGGGAAGGACATGATAGGTGGATAAAAATGCCAAATCCAGTCTAAATATCTGACTGACTGCTCAATTAACCAGAAAAAATAACTATATGCTACCTGACTCTGGGGGTTTGCCATAAGAAAATATTTTTTTTTTAAAAAAACAATAAAACATAAAAGATAAAAAGATGATGAAGTGAGAGGCTTTTCTCACCCTTATCAAAGGCCTGGGTGAGGCACTACATCTTAATACCTCTTCTAAAGAAGAGCAGAGTGGGCACCGTCCAGATTTTGGTGTTCGTCTTTATCTATCCCACCATCCTTTGAGATAGGCTGGGTTGAGAGAGGATATGCACAATTCAAAGTCATAATGTTAATACCATAACCACATGGGTTCTATCTTTAACACAGCCATCTATAATTTATAAGTGCAACATTCACACAATACACATCCAAGTCAATAAAAAGATGGATTCATACTATATGCTGAGCTTTCTGAGTGCTAAATAGCACTCAGGTGAATTCACGCTTCAAGATTTTGCATAAACGATGGAAATAGCTTATTCAATCACCTTGAATAAATTTCTTAAGTGAATCCAGATCTCTAGGCATTGACTGTAACTCTTCCAGGTTTCAGGTGCTAACAATCCTGCTAGAGGGCCAAAATGAGGTCAAGGCCATTCCATGTAATATAGAGTTTACTTTAAGTTAATTTGTTGTTAATTTGTTGTTGGTTTTGTTGTAGGGGAAATAAGCTCATATTCCTTGGTGTGCATAGCCTAAAGGTATTAAATAAGGATAAGCCGACAAGAATCACAAAGAAGTTCATTTGTCCCAATAGGAAAAAAGATGACGAAAAGGACGATATCATGTTGATCAGGCTGGACAGTCCTGTTTACAACAGTACACATATCACACCTCTAAGCTTGCCTTCCAACCCTCCCAGTGTGAGCTCAGTTTGCCATGTTATGGGATGGGGCGCAATCACATCTCCTAATAATAGGGATCTCTGTCTATACTCTCAGACCCAGCATTTGATGTAACATCAACTGGGTCTAGGGTCCCACTATGTCACCCATGAATATTGGAATGTGGATGTACAATGGGATTGTCTAAGATTCCATTTCTTCATCAGTTCCACACCCACAAGGTCCTTGGAATAAAAGAAATAAGTAAGGAACTGGCATGCTGTATAGCTAACCCCCCTCCAAAGGATCAGATTTATTTATAGCAGTGCTGTTGGGAATCAGAAAAATCCCATTAGCATGGCAGTCTTGTGTGGCTTCATTACCTTTAATAATGGGGTGTTTTGTGAATGGCCATGGCCATTTTGTAAATAGAGAAGTGTCCCGGGGAGGATGTTTTCAGAGTATATTTACCCCTTGCTCTCAAAATACCAAATATGAACTCAAAAACATGGTCTATCCTTGGATGGATATAAAATCTCTGTGGATGATTGCAGAGGATTTCTTCCTTTGAAGTTGTGGTGGTGCAGTGGTTAGAATGCAGTATTGCAGGCTATCTGTAAGGACCCACCCCACTTTGCATCTTAAGAAGACAGAACTGTTGTAATAATTATTCCAACAGGAATCCTTTATTAAGAAGAAGTGGTTGCAGGCATGCTAGACAGGACTTGGGGTCCAAGCTCTCCCATTCAAGGTTTTAAGGGGTTCCCCAGCAGTCCCAACCAATCACCCCCCCTTCCAGTGATAGTTTCAGGCATCACAATTCCACCCCTTTGCTTCTTTCTTCCGTCTGTATAGAGACTTCAGATAAACTACATGAAAGGTAATTAGCTCCCTTTGTCATGGTAAGGTTCTTTGATGCTAGTTACATTCAAAGTCTTTCTTTGATGTGCAATAAACACATTCAGTTTCTTAGAAGTGTACTGAAGGAAGTGAGGGCCATAAAGCCCCTTTGTTCTCCCCCTTCTCTCCCTCTTATGGCAGAATCCAGAGAAGGCAGAATTGGGGTTTTCTATGTTTGATAATTAAAGATGAAATATAATTGGATTCTGACACTATCTCTGCTCCCAGCCTGAAATTTGATCCTGACAGGGCTCAAGGTTGACTCAGCCTTCCATCCTTTTGAGGTTGATAAAAGGAGACCTCAGATTGTTGGGGGCAATATGTGGATTTTGTAAATCACCCAGAGAGTGCAGTGTATAGGTCTAAGTGCTATTGCTATTGCTACTAAGGCCATGGAAGTGTTACGTGCGCTCTCAGCTTTGGCTTATGGTCATCCACACATTCAAGCCTGCCAAGGTAGGTTGATGTTGTAAGCCCACCTTGTTCTCCAGCATGATTGGATGGAGAACCCACGGATGGGTTGTCTTAATCTATCTGCTCCAATTAGACTAAGTCTGAAATTTAGTACCTCTCCCTCTGTGCCAACTGCACCCCAGTTTTAGACTTAGTCTCTTTGCTCTAAGACGCGTTTTTTTCTTTGCTCCTGGAGAAGACTATTCCTATTTTATTTTATTCCCTTTAGCTTAGTGCTAACCATTTTTATTAATAGATTTGATAATTTAAAAAAAAAAAGAAAAGAAATTTTTTTTCCAGTAATCATCCCAACCTGTAGCCTAGCAGGCTGACAGGCTGATAAACCTCCCTTTAGGGGGGGGGGAAACTTTCCCTTTCTCCCTTTGAGAGCCTTTCAGCTTCACAATCAGCTTGAAAATTCGATTCCCAGAAGCAAGAGAAATCTCCTACCAGGGGCCGTTCCTCTGCATCAGAGGCTCCGTTCTTCTAACCAGAGCCTGGAGGCCTTAGAGGCAGGGGTAAGCTTGCCAATTGACTGGGGGGCTCCGCAAGCGACGACGAGGCTTGTCAGGCCTGGAGGGAGCCTTTTCTAGGTCCCTTGGCCTCAGCAGACCACTCCAGCAGCAGGAGAAAGTTTTTAGCACCGATCCGATTTTCGGAGCCTGGAGGCCTTACTAGGCCTCGGCCTGCCTCAGCCTCTCTCAGCTCACCTAATTCCAAGGCCTGGAGGCATTATCGGCCTCGGCCAGCCTCAGCGCCTCCCAGCTGACCATCCTAACACCCTCCGCTGCGCTAGGAACCCAGGCGATTCTTCGGAACGAGGGCTCACCGCAGTTCAGGCCTCCTCTGCGCTAGGAGCCCAGGCAATTCTCAGAAATGAGGGTTCATCGCAGTTTAGGCCTCAGGCCTCAAGGCCTCCTTTCTAACGGCCATTTTTGGTGCGCAGAGCTTGTGGCCGCCATTTTGAATTACCTCTCGGCCGCCATTTTGGAACTTACAGAGGCCCAGACTGCCTGCAGGATCATTCCAGAAGGCAGTTTTCTGACAAGTTGAGACAGAGGCCTCTAGATTGATCAACCTTATCACAGGACAAGAGTGATTGGATTGGGGAGGGCCAGCTCGTTCCGGAAGGACGCAGTGCCTACCAACCCCCCATGGCCCACCCCCCTCACCGGGCCGGATCATCTCTGCTGGGCTCCCTTAGTAAGCTATAATGCCGAGGGGGGGGTCATTTTGCTGAGGTTGAGCCCAAAGCAGATTCATCATGGCAGAAAAATCTACCATCGCCGGCCAAGAGGAATCATCCTACTGAGGCAAGTGGAAAGAATAACTCCAAACGAGCCAAGTCACGCAGGGAAACCACTAATCCACAGAGATTCCCCAGGTCAGACAGGCACAACGGGAAGGCCCATTTTTGAACCCCTTTCCTCACATTGTGCCTCAGCCCCAAGGGCCTGGTCTCCCCCCAGGGGAATTTCCCAACTAGAATCAGCCACAAGGGCGGCCCCAGGGACAGGCTTGACTAGCCAGGATACCCTTAATTTGGGCCCTCAGGCCACATTCACCCCCACTGCAGCAGGGCTTCGCCCTCCTGAGAGCCAGACTCTAAACCCGGACTACCTTCAGTCCATGATAGCCCAGGCTGTGGCTCAATTCATGGCTTCCAACGCCCAACAGCCACCCCCACAATCCATGTATCATTCCCAATCTCCAGATATCATGGATGAACCTTCATCAGATCTAGAATCAACAGGGGCTGAACAATCGGGCCTGATTATGTCAGAGGACGAAGGTATAACTTCATCTGACCCCACCCCTTCTGTCGGTCTCTTTGACCATTTACTTTAATTCCCTGCTAATCAGGGCCTGCACAACTGCAAACCTCTGTCAAGAGCAGGAGGCCCCACCTGCAACATCCAAGGGTCCCCATGCCATATATACCGAGCCCTCAGCCTCTCAGAATCATATCCCCTTTTTTCTCCATATGGTTCAAAAACATGGGAGAATTTAGGACCCCTCTCAAGTCCTGGTACCGTAGAGAAGACATTATTCAATGTTGCCCCTTCCCTGACCTCCCTATTGGAGATTCCTGAGACTGATGAACCATTGAACTCATTGTTTTCCAATGCTAACATCCTGGGGATATAGATGAGGCACTTAGGGCGGAGAATAAAATGATTGACTCCGCATTGCGTAGGTCCCATCTGGCATCAGCCTGGGCAACAAAGGTGGCAACATCCATGGCCTTCTTCGCCAGGGCTTCAGTCCTTGGGTTATGTGAGCTCCAGGACATGATTCCTCTGGACCAGCTCAGAGCTCACCAAAATCTGGGTAAGTTAGTGGCTACATCCTAGTTCCTAGCCGACGCTTCTCGGCACATGGCTAGATACACTGTCCGGACCATCGCTGCAGACATCTCAGCGCGAAGGCTCCCTTGGCCCAGGAATTGGCGAGCAGACACCAAGGCCAAGTGACATCTGGCCTCTAAACCTTACACAGGTAGACATCTCTTTGGTAAGGCACTAGAACCATACTTAACTGAAGGTAAGGACAAACATAAAACTCTGGTTAACTCATGTCACAGAACAATTACAGGAGACAGTCCTTTCGACCACCTCCATCCTGGGACTGGGCCCGGGCATCTCTCTATTCCTTTCAAGGATCGTTCAGCATACAGAAGCAGACCACAGATCCAGGCCAAGCGGCCCCTTCGAGGCGTGGGGGGCCATTCCTCTAAATGAGGCAAGTGATCTCACAGTCTCACCTCCCTTAGGAGGCCGGCTGGCCCTTTATTCCAGCACTTGGGCAGCCACCACTGCAGATGTGTGGTGTTAGACACCATCACCCAAGGTCTGAGACTAGAATTTGTTCTCAACCACCTGACAAATTCTGCTCTTGCCCTATTCCAACGAGCAGGTCCAGGGCTGATCTTATGTCAGAGGCCATAGCTCATTATTACAAATACAAGCAATTGAACCAGTACCACAAGACCATAAGGACGAAGGTTTTACTCAAACCTCTTCGTCATCCCTAAGACTTTGGGGGGCTGGAGGGCAATCTTAGACTTGAAAGGTCTAAACTTCACTTGAAGTATAAGAAGTTTAAGATGCAATCACTTCAATCAATCCTGGCCAGCATCAGGCAAGGTGACTCTCGTACCTCAATAGACCTAAATGCGGCATATTTGCACATTCCATTTATCTGACCACAACAAATTCCTCAGATTCAGCTATGCCCAATGCCACTACCAGTACAGAGCCCTACCATTTGGCCTCTCATCGGCACTGAGGGTATTCACAAAGGTACTGGCGGTGTTCGCAGCTCACCTTAGACAAGTTCCAATCAGAATTCAATGCTATTTAGATGACATACTAATTCAGTCATCATCATTCCAAAATGCTCAGTCAGACCTCGCCCTAGCCATCAAGGTTTTTCAGGAGCACGGTTTTCTGTTAATTTCTAGAAAAGTCATACTGTACCAACAACCCGGCTCCTCCATTTGGGCGCTGTTATAGACATGGACAATTGTACGGTCTACCTATCTCAGGACCAACAGAACTCTATTCAGACCCTTGTATGTCGGATCCGAAGGGACAGAGTAGGCACATTGGCCTCCCTATCACAGCTACTGGGGAAGACGGTCCTGCGTGCAAATTGTGCCATGGGCACACCTCCAGGCCAGAGAATTACAGTGGCCTTTCCTTCCATTTCAGAGACTTCACACCAGCACATCCCACCAGAAGGTCCGAGTTCCACGACCGGTGTTGAACTCCCTTCGATGGTGGGACTCCCCGGCGCTGTCACGGGGAGCAGAATTCAAAGAACCAGACAGGATTACCATTACCACAGACGCAAGCCTGCTTGGGTGGAGGGCACACCTCCACACGCACTGGGCTTAAGGTCGGTGGTCCAACAGGACCTAAAGAACAAGACAAACTGGCTGGAACTCAGAGTCATACATATGGCCTTAAAGAGATTCAGCGATATAGTACAGGGCCAACATGTCCTGATTTTAACCGACAGCATTACAGCCAAGGCCCATGTCAACAGACAAGGGGGGACAAGGTCCAGGCCTCTCATGCAGGAGGCCAAATTGCTGGGGTCCTGGGCAGAACTGAATCTTGCCTCCATCAGGGCGGAGCACATATCCAGAGTGACCAACCAGCAGGCGGACTCACTGAGCAGAGCAACCATGGACCATTCCGAATGGCAGCTGGATCTGAAGGTGTTCAGAGAGATCGTGGACAGGTTTGGTTCCCCAACCTTAGACCTTTTGCCTCCCCCACCAACTCACAACTTCCCAGATTCCTTTCCGGGTTCCCATCTCCATCAGCGGAGGGAACAGATGCGCTCCGCAGTCACTGGCCCAGGGAACTGCTCTATGCCTTCCCTCCTCTGCCGCTTCTTCCTGCCACGATCAGGAAGATCCTTCGCAAATGAGCAGAAGTCCTCCTGGTTGCGTCACATTGGCCGAGACGCTCTTGGTTCGCCGACCTAATGGAGCTCTCCGCATCCCCTCCAGGGAAGGTCCCAGCAAATCGCATTTCCCTCATTCAGGGGGAACTACGCCAACCAGTCCCTCAAAGGCTCCAGTTAACCGTCTGGCACTTGAGAGGCAGGACTTAGGCCGAGACTCATATTCGTTGAAAGTCATAGCTATGATTCAGCAATCCAGGCGACCCTCGACGAATACAATATACGATGCCACGTGGAGAGGCATGAAATTGGTGTTTGGTTCAAAATTGACCTTTTGGCGGTTTCAACGCCAGTTATCTTGGAGTTCCTGAGGGATGGTCTAGACAAGGGGCTTTCTACAAGCACCATCCGCAGGCAGGAACACTTGCCACAGTTATTTCCTGTGGTAATGAATCCTTAACACATCACCCTATGATACGCTCCTTCCTAAAGGGAGCTAACAATGCCAGCCCATCAACTGTACAAGGATACCCCTCATGGGATCTTCATCCGGTTTTATAGGCTCTAGTTTCACACCCTTTGAACATATTGACACTTGTTTATTCAAACAGTTATCAATGAAGGTGGCACTTCCTGTTGCTGTAACTTCAACCAGAAGGATCTCTGGACTGGCTGCTCTTCAGTGAGGAAGGACCTGTGTACTTTCCACAAGGACAGGGTAACCCTTAGTCTAGACCCCTCCTCCGTGACTAAGGTTAAGTCCTTGTATCATAGATCTCAGGAAATAGTTTTGCCAGACTTCTGTCCTAACACATCTAATGACATAGAGGTTCAGTGGAAAAAATCGGATGTGCCCAGGGCTTTATGTTGTTATATACAGAGAACTTCATCCTTCCACAGAACAGAGGCTCTATTTGTGTCCTATCACCCTTCATCACTAGGTTAGAGGGTTTCTACACCCACAATACACAGGTGGATTAGAGCTTGTATTTCTCTGGTATACCAGACTCAGTCACTGCGAGATCCCAGGCATATCATGGCCCATTCCACCTGGGCGCAGCTACTACAGCTGCCTGGTCTACTCAGGCCTCCGTAGAGGAAATTTGTAGAGCAGCAACATGGGCATCGCCCTCTTCCTTTGTCTGTCACTACAAGATGGATATATATGCATCTTCTACGGCTTCATTTGGCCGCAAGGTTCTAGAACACGCATTAACATCGGATGGGACCCAGGCCCAATCTAATTCCCCACCCTAGGGACACAGGGCTTTGGTATGTCTCCATCCAATCATGCTGGAGAAAGGGGCGTTGTCTTACCTGAACGCCTTTTCTCAGCATGATGATGGAGAATCCACTCCCTCCCATTAGGTCAGTTGACCTGGTTCCCATATTATTCAGACGCGTCGGACTAAAGTCTGAGTATCGCCTTAGCCTAAAACTGGGGTGCAGTTGGCACAGAGGGGGTGGTACTAAATTTCAGACTTAGTCTAATTGGAGCAGATAGATTAAGACAACCCATCCGTGGATTCTCCATCATCATGCTGAGAAAAGGCGTTCAGGTAAGACAACACCCCTTTTTCTACCTAGGTTTCTACCAAATAGGTGTGGCTAGAGCAGAAAAGTCACACAGCCTTGGTCAAGAGCTGGGAAATAATTAAGGACTCACACAAATAATTTTCAACTAACCACTGAAGCACCACAGTTTTTTTGAAATACATGGAGACCTAGTGAATTTAAAGTAACAGCAAAACATTACTGCTTGCAATGTAAATTTATTCTTTCTCATATGCACACATGAACTCATCCATGTTTAGACACATTCTTCTCAATTAGGCTGCCAGGGAGAGAAACTCCTAAGTTGTGGATCCAAAGATGACTCAAGGAGTGGGTGAGTTTTAGGACCCCTTTTTATCCTCAAAGGTTCTTGATTTGTTGATTAGCTAGGATTGGGGTTTATTTCATATTCTCAGGCTCAACTTTGTCTGATTCAGATGACATTTTCCCTGTTTCCTTGGACTTATTTCCACCTCATCTGTCCTCCCTAAGGGATCTTTTGGACAAGATTCCTGGCTTTTTGTTCTTGTACACAATACAAACCTATGCGTCTCCTTCATCTTCAGATATGGAAGTTTCAGTATGCTGGCTGAGGAATTTTGGGAGTGTGAGTTCACAAGTCTTAAAGTGGCCAAGTTTGGAGACTGCCATTCTAGGTCATCTCCAGGGGATGCAAAATCAGTTCTATGACTTTTGAACTAGTAAAATCCCCACTTTTCCAACAAGGCAATCTTTGCATAGAGTGCTGGAGAAATTTGAGAAACCTTCAAAGGACCATCAGCTGATTTAAGACCTATTAATATCTTGACAAAAAACATTTAACTAAATCTCTTTTTTCCCAGGAGTCCCTTTGAATGGCTTTGAAAGAGAATACTTCCTATTCCCAGGCAATGAGATCAGCTCCACTGGTTGGAGACAATGGAAATTATAGCTCTATGCAATTAGGTGGTAAATTGTGAAAGGTAGAATTTTGCCTATTTTTTATTTTTTTTCAGAGACTTATCCCAATGTCCCTCATTGTGCTAACATTAACCTACTCGATTATACGATGTGTCGAGCAGCTTACCCAGAGTTGCCGGTGAAAGGCAGAACATTGTGTGCAGGTGTCCTGGAAGGAGGCAAAGATACATGTGTGGTAAGATGATCCATTTTAAGACAGACTCCTAAAGAAATGATGCCAATTTTCAAAGCTATGACAGAGATCTAGCCTTGAAGGCATCTTGTAGAATCATACAAAGTTATGGATTTTTCTAACTCAAGTGCCTTCTAGGTGTCTAGATTTCCAGACTTCCCAATATTGGTGATTCTGGTGGGGGAAACTCAAGGAGTTAAATTCTTCTACAAGGATCCTGGATTGGGGAACATCGAAGTGAAACACTGGGGGCTATATGTGAATGGACAGTGGGAAGGAATTGTTTGCTCCACTTCCTATTCATAGATACGGTAGTAATGTTTCATGTTTGATTTTTCTCAACAGGGTGACTTTGGGGAACCCCTCATCTGTAATGGGCAATTCCAGGGCATTGTATCTTGGAGGAGTGATGTTTGCGGTTACATACTTGAGCCTGCCCTCTACACCAAGGTCTTCAATCATCTTGACTGGATCCAGAGCATTATTGCAGGAAATACAGCTGCAAATTGCCCCCTGTGAAAACTTTTGAAAAAGTTAAGAGGAGAAAATGTAATGTATTAGTACATCTCTTCTATATCCCTAGCTATATCGAACTATATTGGAATATATTCTCAGGCAGTAAGCTTTTTTTAGACTCAAATAGGACTGCCTTTGGAGCAATAAATGCTCAAAATAGTGTTGCAGGGATCATGTCCCATTTAATTTCAGTATCAAACAATCTCAGTTAAATGGAGGCCTGTTTTAGGGTGAGGTGCAAACTTTTCTGACTCTAAAATGGACCATTCCAAATATTTTAACCTCTGAATATCTTTCAATTTCTGTCTACTTCTGGGACAGTGGGGTCCTTGATGCTCTCTGAGCTTCTCTTCTTGCAGACATTTCATTACCCCAGCTAGATAACATCATCAGTGCTGGAATATTCTCTTCTATTGGTACTTCTGTGGCATTTACAATAAATTCATATGGAGTCATGCAGTCACCCCACAAATGGCAAATTAATCTTTTTATGGAGGATCAAAATATATAAGTGAAACAAATATAAAACCTGAAATTTAAAACTCAAATCTGAATAAATCTAAAATGGTTGAATGGTTAAGACTCTCATTCTAAAGATTTTGAAAATTGAAAAACAAATGGATGCTGACATCTAGTGGTGGATGAAGACTATGAGAGCTATGACTTTAATATAAGACTTGGCAAAGCCTAGGAAAAGCTAATCTGTGTTTGTGACCTTCAAAGCTGTGAGAAAAAAGAGAGACAATAATCTGGGCTCTAAACAAAGAGAATTATAAATCTGAGGAGAAAATAAATCTTTTTTGAACTGTTTGGATTACAAATATCTGTTTAATTGGGACTCTAAAGCTGTTTGCAGAGTAAAGAAAAGAAGAGAAAAACTCAAATTCTTGGCCATCATGGATCAGAGACATGTAGAAATAACATATCAAAAAAACATAAATGCTCCATAGGTGGAGATATATAGTATCCTGCAACTAATTCAAACAACAATGATTTTAAACAACAAAGAAATTCAAAATAACTTTGAAAATATAAATCAATCTATTTCCAAGTTAACTCTACAACAAAAAAATTCCCAGAAAAAACAACAACAGAGAAGGAGCAGATAAAACAGATAAATGGATACCAAATTGAAAATAGAGACTTAAAAATGGAACTTAACAAAACAAGGAAACATGATTTAATCCTAGTGGGAAAAATGTCACAATAATTGGGAAAATGATGATGGGACGTACCAGAGAGAATACTTAAAAAAGAAACATTTGTTTGAATATGGTTAAAGAAATAGAAAAGATTTGGAATATGTATGTCACTCTAAGAGGGATGAATCCCCTAAATAATATAGTGTGCTTTCCCCCCTTTTTATTTTATTTGTTGATATGAGTAATATGAAATATTTGAAATGGCTTAGAGAAAGGAAATGTTTTAGATATTTAAATGAGACTGAATTTAAGAAAATTATGATGGATAAAAATGTTTTGAAAAAGAGTTAAAGGACTAAATAACTAGATGTATTAAATGTAATATTTAAAGATTAAACATAGTTTTAATTATGGTTAAAAAGAATAAGAAAACTTGGAAACAAATATATATTAGCTTAGGAGGGATATATATATTAAGTACTATGTTATTTTTTATGCTTCTTTACTCTTGCTCTCCTATATTTTTTTTTCATTATTTTATCTATTCCTTAAGAAATGTAAAAGTGTGAGATGATGTAATTAATTTTTGAGAAAATCTTAACCAGTAAGAATACTTAGAATGTTGTGGGAGAAACAAATTTAAATAAGGACTGTAATAGGATCTATGATAAGGCAACCGGAATGATTGGATAGAAAAGAAATATTATATTGATGTGATTATTCTTTTTAGGAATATTGGGGAAATATATTTAATTGTTATCTATGAAAACAATAAGAATTGTATTAGCTTAATGTTTTCAAAAGAGGATATTTTGGGGAAAAGAGGAAATCAATTAAAACTATTAAGTGGATTATGGATTATAGAAATCAATTGTTAGTAATTGTTTTACAAATGTAAACCCAGAAAACACACTGTTGACCAATTATTAAGTGACTTATGTTTTAAAAAAATCAATAAATTACAAAAAAAAAGAAAAGAAAAAGGTCTGACTTGGTGGAAAGGATACTACTAGAGTGGGAAATTGGAAAAAAAAATTCTGAAGGACGGCAATGAAGCTCACAATTGCTTAGGTTCATATAGGTCAGGAAGCCATCACCAAACCAACCTGCTCGATCGCCTAAATGTGTAAAGCCAACTGACGTTTGTTCCTACCATTGATGGATTGCTAGCAGAGATCAGATCATTACATAACCTAAAGTGAGCTAGGTTTGATTTTGCTATTATTGAGAACTCGGCTTCCATCTTAGGTAGTCCTCTCTTGGCAGTCCTTTAACAGGACTCATTCTTGGATAAGTCTACCTTGGCCTTTCCTTTCATCTACAAACCAAATACATTGTTCTTAACCTGTTTAATTCAATAGTATGTAACGTAGGGATAATCATCTTGGATAGATTTTTGACCCAATGAGGACAGGCGCAGTAAGGGCTATTAATCATGAACTCTTCCAAGCTGGGGGAAGTATGGTCCAACTATCAGGTGCAGAGGATGCCCTCATTTCTTGCTTGTGAATACCCCAGCAGTATCTAGTGGGCACCGCAAGAAACAAAATGTTGGACCGAGATACATTTGGGTCAATCTAGCAGAGCTATTTATGCACTGTTATCTAAAGCAGGGGTGAGAAGCCATCAAATAGAAAAGAAGTGTATCTTTATCTTTTATTAACATTTCATGTAAATAAAATTAAATCAAACTGAGTGTCTGGCCCAGCTCCAAGAAAGTGCATCCCAGTGGGCCATTCAAAAACTAAGCAAATCTGTTGAGACAGAAAAAAAAGTTAAGCTCCTGGATCTTTGCGTTGTGCTAACCCAGCCAATGATGCTTACGGCCCAAGACTACACTTGTTTTGTTTCCTGTGTTGGTAAGGCATTGAAACGAGGCAGGAGTAACAACAGATGCTTCTTTATTTCAGTTTTAACAGAACAACACAAAATGGCGCTGATCCCTTTTATACCTTTTGCAGGGAACAGCGTCAGCCAATAAATGCAACATATTTTCCCAGTCCGCGCAAGCGCAATAGGCTGGAGACACCCTGTCTGGCCCGGGCAGGCCCGGATCTCTCTGCAGCATCCTGCACCTGCCCTGTCAATCACAGGAGCAGGACATAACACCCCTCCCCTCTTGGTTCAAAAAATAGATACTACTATTTGAACCACTACAAGTCTCTCTCCACAACATACTTAATACTTTATAATATCACAGTACTCTTTTGCACGTGTTCTTATTTCTAGGGAACACTAGGTCTGCTTGCTTACTGACATGAACCTTACATAATCTTGTAAGAACTTTGGACGGCCTCTGGCCCGCTCCGATCGTCTCGGAGCTGCTACAACCACCCGGTCTGCAAGCTCGCCTGCCAGGCTCAGCAGAGTGGGACTTTGAGGCCCGTTTGATGCGGGTGAACCCGGATCTTGCTGGCTGGCCTGGTCTGGTAAGCCCAACCCTTTGTCTATTTGACTTCGGCTGGCTCTATCCGGTAAGCCCAACTCAAGAGTTCCTTGGTGGGATGGAATTCCCCAGATCAGCAAGAGATCCTGATTGGGAACACTGTCCCATAGGCACAAGGCCTGAGGTAGGTGTGGCATGGGAAGCTGCTTGCATGCAATGTCCCATGGACCCAATCACATTACACAAAGCTCAAGAGAGAGAGGTGGGTCTGCCAATTAGAACATTACTTGTTTTCTAGCCAATAATCAGTCTTTTTTTGATATTTCATGGTGTGGCTGCTGCTAAAAATACCAGCGCTGGTTTCCTGGATGGGTCTGCCCAGTCTCACAGCAAGTCTCCTAGGGGACTTCCCATAGGATCAAGCCAAAGCATGCCTGAAACAGCCCAGCCAAATATGCACAGCCATGTGGAGTTTGCAATGTGGAAGTTTTGCTAGCAATGGCAACTCTATACCCACAGCAGGCAAATTGACAAGGGGAAAGTGATAAGCATTAGGCAGGAGCCCAGCATTACTTAACCAGCTCTACATTGAGATGCTTCTCCAACTGAAAGTTTCTGGAACAGCATTCAAATGATGCTCAAGAGATTTCAACTATGATCTAGGTCAAGTCTCCTAAAAAAAAAAAGCATGCTGAGGAGATCAACCTCTCCAAAACCCAAGACAGTGCTCTGGAAGAAAAAAAATAAAGCAAAATGCTGTAATTCTCTACTACTGACTACTAGTGGATGGGTAAGGAAAATTGGATTCACCTAAGCCAGCAATTCTCAACCTGTGGGTTACAACCCTTTTGGAGGTTGAATGACCCTTTTACAGGTGTCGCCTAAGACCATTGGAAAACACATATTTCCAATGGTCTTAGGAACCTAGACACTGCTCCGTATCCATCTCCGCATGACCTCCTCTGCCATTTGCAAAGACAGAGACAGACAGAGAGGCACTTTCACTTCCCTTCTTTCTCTGTCTCATGTGCACTTACCTCCTGCAGGGCTCCTGATTGGCCCTGCACCTGGGTGCCCCACCCCCTGGGAGAAGCACAGCCACAAGGCCAGGGCCTTGTGGCTGTGGAGCCGCCTGGGAAAGCCCCGGGATCCCTGCTGGGAGCAGCCCACTGGAGGCTCCGCTGAGTGGGCCAGCCCTTCCACAAGCCGCGACCCAAGGGAGACCAGCCCCTGCGATCCCCAGCCAGCCTGACCATTGGACCTGCTGGCAGGAAGGCATGCTGGAGTCCAGGCTGCTGGGAAGGAAGAAGGAGATTCAGCAAAAGTAGGAGAGGAGAGCCGCCTCCTGGGGCCCAGCACTGGCGGTGGCTTCATTGCCCTCCTCTTCCTTCTCCCCTTCTTCCTCCTGCTGCCCCCAAGGTGGCTCGGGTGGGTGCTGGGGCAAAAGGGGTGCCTGGAGGGGAGCAGCTGGGCTGGCAGAGGGGCTGGCAGTGGCCACGCGGCACCAGCCCCTACCGTGGCGCCATCGGATGGGTGGAGGGCGAGGCCAGGCAGCACATAGTCCCAGCTGGGGCTGTGGCAGTGGTTTTCTTGCCCTTCTCCTCTCTTTCTTCCTCCTGCTGCCCCCAAGGCGGCTTGGGCGGGCGCTGGGGCAAGAGGGCTGCCTGGGGGGGAGCAGCTGCGCTGGTGTAGGAACTGGTGGGCCAGGCGGCACCAGCCCCCACTGCAGCTCCATCGGATGGGCAGAGGGTGAGGCCGGCAGTGCGGAGTCCTGGTTAGGGCGGCGGCCAGGCCGGGGGCAGCAGGGACCCCGGATGATGCAGCAGTGACCATTGCTGTTGCCACCAGAGCCACTGCCTCCTGTCCTGCTCCCCCTCCCCACCCATTCGGCTGAGGATGCGGTGGAGGCCGGGCTAGGGGCGGCGGGGACCTCCAACGATGCTGCCGTAAGAGAGAGAGAGAAATAGAGAGAGAGAGAAGAAAAGAGAGAGGAAAGAGAGAAAGAGAAAGAGAAAGAGAGAG